GTATTTGGGCCCTAAAACCCTGATATTTGGGTCCCTGGACCCTTAAGGGTTGTAAACATCAGGCCACAGCCCGAAACCTAAACTCCGTGCACGCACACGTTCAAGTCGGGTTAGCCAGCTGCAGGGCGCTGAGGATGACAAAGGTTGGTGTATGATTTGTATGCCTTAGGTGGATCTCCCACCCTGCAATAGTGGTATATTAGGAATATAAGAGGACCCTAATAAGGATGATAGTAGTTGGGAGCGATATTGGGGTCACGCGATTGAAGGAATCTGAAAGGACCCCCAAGAGAGACGCGAAATTATTGCGGATCCATGCACTCCATGACTAATGTTCAAGTTAAACCTAAACCCTATAAACCCTAAACAACCCTAAACCCAATGCCCGAACCTGAAGATTCAGAAGCCCTGCACCTCAAGATTTCGAAGCAAAACCAATCTCCAGCACAAACCCTGAACCCTTCACAACAAACGTCTGGAGGTTGTGTAATTTTTGAGGGCCCTCATAGACTGAGAGCCCTACTAGTACGGCAAAGGATGGCTCATTTGAGGCAAGGGGCCGACTACTCAAAGCTGCAATCTCGTTTCTCAGCAGCGCTGTGTCTGCAGCCTGATGGGGTTTAGGGACTGTCATGACACACACACAGGCTACAAGGGGAATAAAAGGGTCCCCATTGGTCATTTCTTCTGGATGGTCTTCAGAAAGTCCACTGTCAGCAGGGTAGCAGTTTTTGCAAGGTCCGTTGTGAATCATGGTTGCCCGGGGAAGTGGAAGGATTCCCGGCTTGGACTGGGGATGTGGGGTTTAGGGTTCAATGCTTCAGGTCTAGAATTTAGACCTTTCAAAGCTGGATTCCGTAGTGTAGTGTGTTTGGGTTCAAGCAGAATGGAATTGTCGCTGGGATATGAGAAACACTAGCATGGCGGGGACCCTTACCTTGAATCATGCCTGTTTCAAAGCTTCTGAAGTCCTCGTATATCCCCCCCAAGAGAAACATGTAAACTTGGGAGAGAATGCTTCCAACAGGTCATGAGCTACAGAGGATGCAATATGGGCCCATCTGAGCTATAGTCTAAGCTCCTAGTATCCCCGTCAATAAGCCTCATGGTAGTTCCCAGAACAATCCCCAAAATAGTCCAGCAGTACGGAGTTCAGGTTGTGGCTCATATAATGGCGCTAGGATTTCAGAGTTAGATAGGAATCTGCCGAGGCCAGCGGCCTGGGGCATTTGGATCTAAGGCACAGGCGCCAGGTATATGTTGCGCATGCTATGCAACAGATTGTGATTAAGGCCAAGATTGGCACTTCTTCCTTTTATTAACGATCCCCAAAAAACCTGGTATAGTCGCAATTCTCAGATTCTGCTGCCAGGGGATAAGTGTTCTGCATTAGGATTTCGAGTCCA